AAAAGCAAAAAACACAGTTTGAGAAGATGGAGCAAGCATCAGAGCTCTGATATGGAATTGATGTTGGAATTATCAGACTGGGCATTTAAAACAACTGTGATTAATATGCTAAGTGTTCTAATGGAAAAAGTAGACACCATGCAAAGACAGATGGACAATGCAAGCAGAGAGATGGAAATTTTGAGAAAGAATCAAAAAGAAACGCTAGAGATAAAAAAAAACTGTAGCAGAAGTGAAAAATGTTTTTGATGGACTCAACCTCTGAGCTTGAGGATATGCCAACAGAAACATCCAGAATTGAAAGCACCGAGGGAAAGGTGACTTACATACACAGTGGAACAGAATATACAAAAACTGTGGGACAACGACAGAAGATGTAACATATATGTAAATGATAATACCAGAAACAGAAGATGGGAACAAAAGTATTTGAAGCAATTATGACTGAGAACTTCCCCAAATTAACGCCAGACACTAAACCACAGACCCATGAAGCCCAGAAAACACCAAACATGATAAATGAAAAAAAAAAAAAAAAAATCAACATCTAGGCATATCATCTTCAGACCGCAGAAAGTCAAAGATAAAACATTTTGAAAGAGGAGGAAATTATCTTATATAGAGAGGAGGAAGAATAAGAATTGCATCATACAATATTTGGATTGTATAGTAATCCTGTGTTTAACTTTTCATGGTGGCTGCACCATTTTACATTCCCATCAGTGGAGTACAAGGGTTTGGATATCTCCACATCCTCACCAACACTTATTACTTCCCCCTTTTAAAAAAATTGTAGCCATCCTAACGGGTGTGAAGTGGTATCTCATTGTAGTTTAGATTTAATTTCCTTAAAGGCTAGTGATGTTTTGCATCTTTTCATGGCATATCTTCTTTGGAGGCATGTCTATTTGAATTCTTGCCCATTTTAAAATTTGTTCATTTGTTTTTTTGTTGTTGGTGGTGGTGAGTTGTCGGAGCTCTTTATATATTCTGGATGTCGATCCCTCATATATATGCCTTGCAAATATTTTCTCCCATTCTGTAGGTTGTCTTTTTTATTTGAGATGGAGTCTTGCTCTATCACCAGGCTGGAGTACAGTGGCACAATCTTGGCTCACTGCAACCTCTGCCTCTTGGGTTCAAGCAATTCTTCCACCTCAGCCTCCCAAGTACCTGGGACGACAGGCGCGTCCCGCCACACCCGGCTAATTTTTTTTTTGTATTTTTAGTAGAGATGGGGCTTCACCATGTTGGCCAGGACGGTCTTGATCTCTTGACCTCGTGATCTGCCCGCCTTGGCCTCCCAAAGTGCTGCTTGTCTTTTCACTTTCTTGGTAGTGTGCTTTAATGTTTAAATGTTTTTGATGAAGCCAATTTGCCTATTTTTTCTTTTGTTGTCCATGCTTTTGGTGTCATATCAAAACAATCACTGCCAAACATAGTTTCACAAAGATGTTTCTCTATGTGTTCTAAAATTTTATAGTTTTAGCTCTTAAATTTAGGTCTTTTATATGTTTTAAGCTAATTTGTATATTTGATTTAATATAAGGGTCTAACTTCATCATTTTGCATGTGGATATCCAGTTTCCCGGCACCATTGGTTGGAAACGTTGTCCTTTCTCCATTAAATGATTTTGGCCTCCTTGGGGAAAATCATTTGACCATATATGCAAAGATTTATTTCTGGGCTTTCTCTTCTGTTCCTTTGGTCTGCATGCCTGTCTTTAGGCTGGTCCCACACTGTTTTGATCACTCTAGCTTTGTAGTAACTTTTGCAATCAGGCATTGAAATATAATAAAGGTGAATAAATATGGTACATTTTTTAAAACCCTAAATGTTAGCTCCATGGCAGTACAGGTTTTTATCTTCTTCTTTTATTTTTTCTTATTTTTTTGAGATGGAGTCTTGCTCTGTTGCCCAAGCTGGAGTGCAGTGGTCTGATCTCGGCCTGCTGCGACCTCTGCCTCGTGGGTTCAAGCAATTCTCCTGTGTCAGCCTACTGAGTATCTGGGATTACAGGTGTGTGCCACCATGCATGGCTAATAGATTTGTATCTATCTTATTCGTATATTAGCCCTTATATCTAGACTGCTATAGAGTACATAATAAGGTCTAAATAAAAACTGCTGAATAGCCAGGTGTGGTGGCTCACACCTGTAATCTCAGCACTTTGGGAGGCCAAGGTGAGTAGATCACCTGAGGTCAGGAGTTTGAGACCAGCCCGGCCAATGTGTTGAAACCCCGTCTCCACTAAAAATACAAAAAGTAGCCAGGTGTGGTGCCAGGTGCCTGTAATCCCAGCTACTCGGGAGGCCGAGGCAGGAGAATTGCTGGAACCTGGGAGGCGGAGATTGCATTGAGCCAAGACTGTGCCATTGCACTCCAGCCTGGGCGAAAGAGTGAAACTCTGTCTCAAAAAGACAAAACAAAACAAAAACTGCTGAAAGCTTAGAGTCTGATGGACAGGCCAAGATAGACCTGAAATTAAATAGGATAACAACATTTGACAAATTAGCAGTTTTCCTTTATCCTCCTTCCAGAAAACCCTTTGCTCAGTCTTAAATAATACAACTTCAGTATGAGTATTCCTGTAGCACTGGATTCAGCATGTGCACAGGTAAACTTCAGCAGCCACCACTGCAAGCTGGCTCCCAGAACCCGCCTCCTAAGTAGTTCTGTCAGAATCTTATCCCCAGGCTTCGGGTAGGATTCTGGCTGAGTTACTTACAATGTCTTCAAGTGTGAGATTTGTGCCTTCCAGTTCTTACACTACCATTCTTTGGCACAGTTACTACTACATTTTAAAGTGGCACCCTGGTCTATTAGGGATGGGCAAGAAAGGAGTTCTAGTGTATTAGTAAATTTAAGGATTGTTTGGAATTAGAAGGAGAATACCGAGGAAGTACTCTCAGCTTGGCACCTTATCTGATATAGTACCCAGCTGTTGCAGATAGGCATTTAAGCTAGAACTTGGCATGACTTGTAGTGGTCCTCTGTTGTGGAGTCGTCTTGGGACATACTGTCTTCTAGGATCGGCCTAAAAAGCCGCCCGTACTTAAGTCTCATGTGTAGTTCTTGAAAAATAAAACAAACAGCTGCCTGCGAAACTTATGTAGGATAGTTGAACAAGAGAGTAGTCAGGCCAAGGCATGATTAAGAAGTCTAAAGCATTCGTTTCTTTGCCATAGTGCAGAGGGATAAATGAAGTGACTCTTTCCATTATTTAGCTTCTTTGAGGTTGTAAGAAACAAATTGGTTTAGGTTACCTTCCAAGTTTATTATCTCGCAGCTGGCCTTCAGGAAAATTAAATGTTATTTATCTTTTATGTTCTCTAGTTCACCTGTTGTTACCAAGTCTAGTATTTCCACCATTTTAAAAAATCAGCTTATATCTCCCTATAATGTGCTTCTATTTCTCTTGACTATAAGCTCTCCCATTTTCTTATTTCCCGTGGCTTATACTTCTTACGAGAAAAGATGTGATTGGGTTGTTCAGTCATTATCCAGGTGGGCAGTGCTCTGATGAGACACCTCTCAGGCCCTTGATGGTCTTTGGGCTGGAGCTGATCTCCAGTCATAGTCCCTAGTAGCCAGAGTATTGGTGTCTCACCTCTGTTGTATGGTGACTGATCATACTATGATGATAGTATGACTGATCATACTGAAAGAAATGTTTATGGTCACTTTCCTTAGAAGGAACCTGTGTGGCCTTGGTAGAGACTCAGAGCCTCATATATCATTCTTTACTAATGCATCACTGGGAGCTTTCATTTTGAAGGAGAAGTAGAAAGGCCTGCACATGCATAGGATGTATTTCTGGCTTCCGGAGGAAGGAGCCATGGTTATCCAAACAATAAAATTATCCTCACTCGTCCTTTGTTCTATAACCTTTTGTAGAAGTGTTTTAGGAACAGTAGCAATTCAGGTATATTACACTTCTGTTTCCCATCCCTTTTTATTGGATTCTTCTTTAAGGCTTTTGTAGAATTTGTGAAATCTGACTATTTAGAAAGAAAATATCCACGTAGCTGGGCCATTAAAGAAGATAAAGGAAAAGAACTGGTGTGTGACCTGCGGGATGTCCTATATGCAAGGAGCTAAAGCCCCTGAGAGCAGAGTTGCTCTGCACAAAGTTGCTCAGGACCCAGAGACCTTCATAAGGCTGTTTCTGTATGAAGGCCTTCTTCAGGAAAGGCATATTCGATTAGAGGCACAACAGCTGAGGAGTAATATTCTGTAGGTGGTCCATGTGCCTACTGGGTCTTCTCTCCAGGATTAGCTGAAAAATGTTGAGACCATGGTTAACAGGTTTCTGACGTTTGCCCAAATCCATAAGGAATCAGATGCTAGTTTTGAAAGGGAATGCCATGGAAGTAGCTGTATTGATTTTATCAATGATATAAACTTAGCTTCATGAAAATTACCATGTTATTTTCCTCATTTCAACAAAGACCAGTGAAAACTTCTTTGTGGACTGGAACCACCGGGTGGCTAATACAGTCAGGCAGACTCCTAGCTGGTTGATAACCATACCCAGAGTGTGTCGATGCTGTCCGGAAGGGGAGAGTTCCAGGCCAAGAGTCTGGCCCGCATCATGTGCCACTGAGGGTGCCTGTTCAGGATTGGAAGCCTGGGGAAGGGAGGAGGATAGAGGGAGGAAAGGCAGAAGGCCTGGGCAGGTCTGGGTGAGAAGTGTGGAAGGGTTAATAGGAAATGGTTAGACAAAAGCCTTTAAAGCTCCGAGGGCTTTGTTCTGGGACTAAATAGGAAAGTGAATTCTCAGAACTCTTCTCTTCCCCTTGGTTCCTTCCAGTGAAGGTCAGATTTGAGAGAGAAAGCAGTTAACTTGCCTTACCTAAGAGGCTTTGTTGTGGAGTATTTTCCATCCTCTGTGGTTAGTGACCATAGCATACACAGACAGGAAAACCTGACCTCAGTGCAAGGTTTCTCTGCTGTTGGAGATACGTTGCCTCTGATTTTACTTTTCTTTCTCCTTCAGGCTGCCTGATAGGGGCTGTGAATCTGAAATCCAGCAATCGAACCCCAGTGGTACAGGAATTTGAAAGTAAGTACAAGGGAAATGCCAAGGATAATGGGCACCATCTACTGGACATTTGGTGTCTTGCAGCCAACTCAGGACACAACCATCTCTGTAGTGTGCCAAGGAGACCTTTGGGGTGGGAGCTCTGCTGCGCTGCACAGGCCCATGAGACGTGGCATCAGCAGCCCAGCAGTGAGCCCTGGGTGGGTTTTCCATCAGCTGGCATCGCACTCCTGCCGGGCTTTGTGATCACACAACAAAGAAATTTTGTTTTGTTTTGTTTTGTTTTGTTTTGTTTTGTTTTGAGATGGAATCTCACTCTTGTTGCCCAGGCTGGAGTGCAGTGGCGTGATCTCGGCTCACTGCAACCTCCACCTCCCAGGTTCAAGTGATTCTCCTGCCTCAGCCTTCTGAGTAGCTGGAAACAGGCATCTGACACCATGCCTGGCTAATTTTTGTACTTTATAGTAGAGATGGGTTTTGCCATGTTGGCAAGCCTGGTCTCGAACTCCTAACCTCAGGTGATCTACCCCCCCCTTGGCCTCCAAAAGTGCTGGGATTACAGGTGTGAGCCACCACGCCCAGCAAAAAATGTCTTATATAGAAGAAGGGTGTTTAAGCGAGGGTGTACTCAATCTAATAAAATCCTTGCTAATTGTCTTCATTGTTTCTCTGGCAAAAACTCATCTTTTCTCAAAGTCTCTTGGAATGTGGAGTTGGCTAGGTTTTTAATCTGCATGAAGAGCCTCTTAAATTAGAGCCAGTTTGCAGCGTCTGGGTGTGCAGGTGAATCTAGAAGCACTCCACATTCACTGAGAGCCCTTTTTCTTCTTTGCTTGTTAGGCGTGGAACTGTCTTGCATCATTACGGATTCGCAGACAAGTGACCCCAGGATCGAATGGAAGAAAATTCAAAATGGCGAAACCACATATGTGTTTTTTGACAACAAAATTCAGGGTATGATCCTGTAGTCTTCTTGCCCATGCTGACCTTTCCTCTGTCCATAGACCTGGGTGTGCACTTTTGGCCAGAAACTGGTAACCTGCATCTGTAGCTAGGACTGTTTTGTTTGTTTTCTTAAGGATTCATTATTATGGAAAATTTCAAACATAGTGCAAGTGGTATTTCAAGCCTCCCTGTACAGGTCACCCAGCATAACGATCATTAGTTAGGATCTTAATCTGCTCACAGCCCCATCTCTGGGGAATCAGAGTAAACATTTTCCTAGGCCATCTTCTCACGATCCTGACGTGAGTGATGTAGGTGAGCGAATGAGAAGGGCCATATGTTTCAGCAAGGGCAGAGCACAGATTTACTGAGCCACGCACTGTGTTTCAGGCTTGGTGCTGGGGGTGCCCATGGGGAGAGAGCACAGGGTACCCAGAAGTGACATTGAGTGGGAGGATGGTGGTCAGGGAAGGCTCCCCAAAGTTGCCTCTCTGGGTGCGGTGTGAAGGGTGGCTGGTTAGGAGCCAAGATGATGTGGAGAGAGGTGGTGGGCAGGAGAGAATGCTGTGTATGAACATGCAGAAGCAGCAGATGGACTGGCTGATGGGAGAGACTGCAAGTTCCCCACTGTAGCTGGTACGTGGACAGGGAGAGAGGCAGGAGAGGGGCTGGAGAGGTCTCCTGGCCAGGTGGACCACACTGAATGCCAGGCGAGCATGAGCGGTATCTGAGGGCCTGCTGTGAGGCTCTCGGGGTAAGTGCCGTGCCGCATCTACGTTTCAGAAGACTGAAGTACCTGCTGTAGAGAAGAGATTGGAGGCGGCAGAAGTCAGAGCGGAGGCCGCAGTCAGGGGCCTT